TCTTACAATAAATACCAACTTCTGTGTGTTTATTTGGGACTGGATGGCTGTGGGATCAGGTGGGACAGAAACTTCATCTACATCTAAGCTCACACTCACACTAAGACATGTGTGAACATATGCAAAAGCACTATTCTTTTATTAATATAATTTTAGTTTTGTTTTTAAAAATAAGACTCTCATCAGGTAGCCCTGGCTGGTCTAAAACTGACAATGTAAGACCAGAATGGGCTGGATCTCAGATATCTGCATGCTTATTGCCCCAAAGACAGGGACTAAAGGTGTGGACAGCTGGGTAAGAACGTGAGCTTTAAGAGTTAAGCCTGGGAATATAAAGCTACCAATGTCTAATAAGCAGGTGAATATTTAAACAAATGTGGTTTAACGATACAATAGAATACTCATTAGTTACATGTTCTAATCCTGATGAAAGCCCTATTCTGGATGAAAGTAGACACCAAAGACTATATATTGAATGTCTCTATTTTTAGACAATATTTACAAAAAGTTACATTCATGTTCACAGAAACAAAAATCAAGCCACTGGTTGTACAGGACTAAAGATGAAAATGAGGGTTAATTTGTAAATGGACACAAATCTCGTAGAGCAGCGGTTCTCAACCTGTGGGTCAAGACCCCTTTGGAGCCACATATCAGATATCCTGCACATCAGATATTTATGATTCATAACAGTAGCAAAATTATAGTTATGATGTAGCATGAAATAATTTTATAGTTGGGGGTCACCACAACATGAGGGACTGTACTAAAGGGTCACAGAATGAGGAAAGTTGAGAAGCACTGCCTTAGAGTAATGAAAATGTTCTAAAAATGGGTCCTGGTAATGGCTGCACAAGTCTACAAACTTATTAATATCACTAAATTCGTTTACAATGGGCAAATTTTATGGTAGGCACATTTTATACAAAAATTTTTACATAAAAAAATCTGAGAAATGTATGTGTGTGTGTAAATATGTGTGTGTATCTGAAATTCTCAAACTGCCCACCTCATTCCCAACAAATACAAAAGCAAACCTAAATAAATAATTCCCAAGTACTAAAGCAAAGCCACTATCTTAAGTTGCAATTAAGCTGCTCACTGTTCAATTCAGTAACTACTAAACACACATACATACCACATCTAAAGACCACAAATCAAGTAGTCCCACCCAGCTAAGTATTTGAAATGGAAAACAGAAACACAGCCACATTCAGGTTTTCTTTGCTCTGCACTGACTACATGTCGTCTTAATGACACAAACTATATGCCTCAGAAGTGTGAAGTCCGACATAGTTCATCAATGTAAGTCATCGGCTTATGTTACGGTGTTAATCACCAGAAGCGATCATGTATAGTAATGTGATAGAATGTACAAGGGAGTTAATCTTGTTTTCATCTCACTTATTTTTTTCTGAAAGTACACGGATTTGCCACCTAGAAAATGATTTGAACATTTTGTTTCAAAATGTACTTGTCAAAATATTTTTGCACATTTTGATCAAGCAGTCCTCAAATTCGTTCCTTCACGGTTCAAATGCAAATTTAAGACGTTCAGAAACAGCTTTTCTAATTAGCAAAGCAGACACATGGTCTCCAACTTTTGATGGCCCACCTTACAATTTCTCGACTTCAATTCATGGAAAGATGACACACATTCGGAACCTGTTATTCTGACCTGAAGCTTTTCATAGGTTAGCAACATACAGACCAATGCCGTCCTGTCTCATGGTGCTGAGCAGTGTGAACCAGTGCTAGCCCCAGAGTTACACAGTGTAGAGAAACTACCAATGCACTAAAGTATACTGGGTGGCTACTACTTTTTTGAAGGATTACGTTTTCTGTTTTCACACTCTTTTCATGTTTGGAAAATGCATATGCGTGTGTATGCATGAGTGGTGAGCCCACAAGTGTTATAAATAAATGTACAGCTGACATCTATTGGACTAATCCATGGGAAGTGTGTATGTACACATCCCCTTGGACTAACCCGTTTTTACAGAGCTAAGGGAAAACATGTCTTTTGGATAAGTCACTGTCAATTCTGTAGAAATCCTTTGACAACATGGCATTTCTGCCTTCTATAGTATCCGAGCAGGATATAAAACTAACTTTTACCAGCAAGGGTAACTGGATACCTTCCCCACAGAGTGAAGCCCTGATATGAAAGTATTCACTCAGTCAAACCTTTATTCTTAGAGCCAAAACCTGCTCCCCCACAGACTTTCTTTATTAACAGTACTCACTGAAAAGAAAAGAGCCCCCTACAGGAGGTAATATGTCTGCTCTAACAGCAGACCCAGGAAGGGGTATCTACTGGGTCTTTTGCTGACTTAACAGGCTACTAATTAATATTCTGTATTTACCGGGGAAGTAAAAATGGAGTCTTCTCATTGCTTAACCTAGATGGCTATTTGAGAGAATAAAATATTAACTTTGTTTTCTCCTACTCTTGGCAAGAAGAATGCTATTTAAACCGAAACCCTAAACACTCAACTTTACCTAACAAATTCCTTGCTTGAGCACCAGATGGCACCTTTTTAAAAATAAGGAGACTCTAGCATGTGGAAAAGCATGCTAATAAGGCAGAGGGCATTATAAGAGGTGAGCTCTCTCTATTTTAATGCCATGTTTCTTTTAGAACAGTGTTTCTCAACCTGTGGGTCACAACCCCATCACATCAGATACTTACATTAGGACTCACAACAGCAGCAAAATTACAGTTAGGAAGTAGCAACAAAATAATTTTATGGTTGGGGGGTCACCACAACATGAGGAACTGTAGTGAAGGGTCACAGCATGAAGGAGGCTAAGAACCACTGCTTTAGGAAGATTTTGCTATTGTGTGGCTGCCTAAAAATAAATGTACACTACAGTTGCCGTTAGCTTAAAATAAGCAAGGGGCTGGAGAGACACTCAGTGGGTGATGCCTGTAACCTTTAATGTGGAGATGGAGATAGGCAAGACCCAGGGGGCTGCTCAAAGGCCAGTCAACCTAGCCAACATAGCAGGCGTACACAGGTCAGTGAGAGGCCGGGTATCAAGCCAGTAAGGCAGGGAGTGACAGCAGACTTGACCGGACTGAGGTCACTCCCAACCCTGCAATACACACATACAAACACACACACAAAACTAAAAACAGAATTAACTAAGGCCAGCAAGTTGGCTCAGCGCACAATGACTTGAGGTCAGACTTCCGAACTCACATGACGGAAGGAGAAAACTGACTCCAACAAGCATCCTCTAACCTACCTACACACACACACACACACACACACACACACACACACCAATATGGTGGTGATGGTGGACACAAAATACAAGTTTAAAAGAGAGGTCATGACTCTGAGATTTGAAAAAAATAATAAAACACTAAAAACAAGGAGAGAAGTTATCTTCAGTCTGAAGATTTGTTCTCTAGCAAAACTGGAAAATCTACCTTTAATGCTTTTTTAATATCTCTTTTTTTAAAGACAAGGTGCCAGGTAGACCTTGAACTCCTCCTCATCTCCCCGTCCACACCTCCTGAATACTAAGACTATTGATGTGTGCTTGCTGCCTGGTCTAGTTTGATGCAACATTAAGGGTCAGTCCAAGGGCTACCTGCACACTAGGCAGAGCACTCTACCAACTAAGCTACACCCCTGCTCCTTAAAAAGCCTACATGTTTGGCCCATGAGATGGCTCAATAGAAAAAGGGCACTGCCAAACCCAAAGACCTGGGTTTGGCCCTTGGTACGTATATGGCAGAACAGACTCCCACAAGTTGTCCTCTGACATCCACACACGCACCATGGAATCACTTGCCCCTCACACACACACACACACACATCGATCACACCTCAGCTATCACCCTTAGGAAAAATAACAGTCACATGGCCCACTACTTTGAACTTCATCAAACTGCTTCTCAAGAACTAGGCCTCCTCTGCATCCTTCTGGAACAATCTGCTACCAGTACCAGGTCGGCAGGTAAGCATTCTGCCAAGTCAAGGGGAATTTTAGAAAAATCATCATCATCATCAGTCCTCACGCTCATAACTGAACAGAAGCTAGTGAGGGAGTAGTCTAGTAAGTGTATATAGTGAAATGCCCAAAAAAATGTTTGCTGAATGCTGAAATTTACTATTGAAGGGGATGAAAAGAGACTCATTTTGACTTTGCTCAACCAAACCAATACAAAGGGTTAAATGTACAAGACAGAACGGATGTCACAAGCGAATCCCTTTTGCCAATGTAAAGTTGTAGACATTTAAAGCGGGTTTAGTTACTGACACAAGTCTCATGTAGTCCAGCCTGGCTCGAACTCCCTATGTACCTAAGGATGACACTGAACTCCTGACCCTGACCCCTGCCTCCACTTCCCCAGTGCTGGGATTAAGGAACAAGCCACCATACCAAGCTTGTTTTGTGTGTGTGTGTGTGTGTGTGCGTGTGTCTGAGAGAGAGAGAGACAGATTTCGCAGTTTTAGCAGAGGTTTCTAATATTTCGACTCTACATACATCTATTGTAAAAACACAATCACAATGGTCCTCGAAGCCTATAAAACGGATACGAAACGTAACTTTCCTTGCCCAGCGTACCGTGGGGGATCACCAGCCAGTTAACTGACTTTTCTGTACAAGAACTTTCACGGCAGCCAAAACGCACACTACCAGATGCCCGTTTCTGCAGGCTGATCCCTAGACGAGCGTCACGCATCTCCAAAAGGGCTGAGACAGGGGACGCGCACTCTATAAGACGTATGCTCCAGCTCGCAAGGCCAAGAGCGGCCGCGAGCTGTCACACTCCGTAGAGGGTCACGGCCGCGGCTCACCAACCAAGGTTGGTGCAGCCAAGGTTGGCTGGAAGTGTCCCCAGCCAAGGTCCAAGGACAAGGACGTGGGTGCACCCCAGCCGCCTCAGCATCCCGCCTAGCGCGGCGGAGGAAGCCGAAGAGCTGTGTCTTCGCGCCGCAGGCTCCCAGAGGCCCCAAAGCTGAGGCCCGCCCGACACTCACCGCCACTCGGCCCCCTCGGAAAACACTGAGAGAAAAGTCACGGACTTAGAGCACGCAGCTCCACGGAGTGGACGGCCCTGCCCCGCCTCTCCGCGCGCATGCGCCGACCCGCCTGGACCGAGCCACTGTCCGAGGCTAAGGGGGATAGAGGGTTGGTTCACCACGCTCGGCATGGACAGCAGACAACGCGGACTGCAAGGAGAGATTCTAGACAGAGGTAACTTTTATTTATCTGATCCTGACCCTGAGTAGAGCGACGCTGGGGACCTAACGCGCTTCCCATATGGCGCGACCACTACCACGTCCTACCCCCCCATACACCGGGAGCAGTGCGGAGGCCTGGTCCGGTGGGCGGGGCCCGAGCAGCCATTGGCGGCTTCGAAAGCGCCGCGGCGGGAAGGGCTGCAGACACGGCGGGCGGTGTGGACCGGCCAGGTAGGCTTCAACGACGCGCGTTGGGACCCGGAGGGTGGTGAGAGGACTAAGGATGAGAGGACTAAGGGAGCCAGCCACCAGTCCTCTACCGGGGCCGTGTCACGGCGCAGTACCGCCGCGGAACCTTGGCCTGAGACTAGTGCAGCTTGAGTCTGGAGCAAGAGGGCGGTGATGCGCGCCCGTGGCGTCAGGTCCGCCCGGAGTGGGGCGGGACTTTACGTGCCGCTTGGGGTCTGCGCTGCGACCAACAGCTGTCTGCTGGAAGGTGGCTCTGCTTTGAGACGTGGGCTCGCTCCATCAGGTTATTGACTCTCTTGCCCTTGCCTTGCGTCTTTTACGTCCATGCATCCTGTTGGTTTACTTGTTATCCTCCCTGAGCGTCTAATGGATTGTTGCTTCACGAGGGATCTTTTCTGTCACTTGTTTATTCAACAACTGTCAGAGCACCTACTGTGGTAAAGCGCCAGAAAATAGGAGTTGACACAGTTTCAGGGGAAACGCTCACTCAAGGGCTTGCTAACTTTGCCGATATTTTCCGCCCTTTCTGTCATTTCTTCTAGGAATGACATTCTGCAAGCCACTTAGAATTAAGAACCTCTAGAAGTGCTAAGGAATGTTATGTCTCATTTTTGGGCATCCTACCCTGAATGCCCTGACCTCGCCTGATTTAGCAGGGTCAAGCCTGGTTAGTATGGGGATGGGAGAAATGCCGGCTTTGTATATACCCTCCCCATTTACCTTATCAATGCCCACGAAAGCCCTCCCAGTTGTTCTTCATGGATCAAGTGCTGGCTTGATAGTTGACAGACTACTAAACCTAAATTCTTGCCATACACATAATGCTTTGGGGGAGTATCCATCCTTCGTCCTTCAGGCATTTGTCAAGTGCATATGAGTTGGCTCTTGACTGAACTCCCTGGATGACTTGATTGACAGGCACTGAAATATTAGGGTCGGGCTGGTGAGATTGCTAAGAGATTAAGAACACTGGCTGCACTTCCAGAGGTCCTGAGTTCAATTCCCAGAATCACATGTTGGTGCACAACCATCTGTTATGGGATCTGGTGCCCCCTTCTGACCTGCAGGCATGCATGCAAGTGGAACACTGTATAGATAATAAATTTTAAAACGAAAAGAAATTGTTAGAATCAGAGCCTGGGCCCGGGCAGCCCTAACAAGCTAGGCTCAGTGGCCATCCTCACTAGGCCAATTAAAGGGACAAGTCACAATGAAAAGCAGAGAAGAGAGATTTATCCAGTGTGACCACACTTGGAAGAACAAAGAGGCCCGGTGATCCACCCCCACCAAGTTCACCTCTACTATCCAGACTTGAGACAGAAGTTTAAACAGAGAGCAGCAGGTACACACAACTCAGCAGTCGTGGTCACAGTGTGGTCCTGCCCATCTCTGAGCCAGTGTGTCCTGGTGACAAGTTGGCAGAAAAGCTCCTCTGCTGGCCCCAGGTGCCAGCCTTTTCTTCTGCCATTGTGCTCCTGGATGAGTTCCATTTTCTTGGTATCTGTTGTCTCAAAAAGGACTTTTCTTAGAATGACCTTACTCCTGCCAGGACAGTAACAGGGCTGTAGATTTTAGTGACAAAATAGTGAATAAGGCAAACGTAGTCCCTGTCTTGAGCACAAAAAAAAAATTATTGTGGCGGTGATAAAATAATAAAACTGATGGCAGGTGCCTCTGTACAGATAGTAAGCACTGGAAGGTTGTAAAATAACTTTTTATTGGATGGTTGTGAAAAGTTTCCCGGGAGAGACTAGGCCGAGGGCTGAATTACAGCAAGAACCTTCTAGTCAAAGGTTGCTGAAAATACAATGCCCCATCCCCAGAAGGATCCTTTAATCTTGCAGGAACTGAGACACAGTGTAGCTGAAGAGGTGGGCCTGGAGAAGTAGCTCAGTCATAGAGTATGTGCCTCAGGGAAGGCCCAGAATTCCATCCTCAAATCCACGTGCAGAAACGAAGAAGAAGATGAGGGGGAGGTAGACAGAAGGAAGGAAGCATGGACCAGGTCATACGTGGTCTTGTAGACCATACTGAAGATTTCGGTTTTGACTTTTAAGGAAAAACAGTCTCATAACTAAACAATACAGCAAATGATACTCCATTTTCACAACCTTAATTCAGCTGTTTTTTTCATCCTAAACCATGCTTTGGTTTTCAGTGCCTTTTTAAAATACAGTCACCTGGGCCTGGGGATGTAACTCAGTTGGTAGAATGTCACCTGGGACTGGGGATGTAACTCAGTTGGTAGAATGTCACCTGGGCCTGGGGATG